ATGGTTTTGTTGCGTGCTGGGGGGGGGGGGGGGGGGGAGTTCCCGGGATCGGGTGCCCAGATTACAGCGTCGGATACAATGGTTCTCACCACAATGGCTTTTGACAAACCCGTCTTTCTGTCCAGGCCTCCCAGAGCCCTTCACCCAGAGCCTGCTCCGGGGAGAGGGGGTGGGACCTCACCGGCTCCCTGCCGAGTCTCAGGCTCCCCGCGTCCCATCCCAGCAGGAGTGGGGGGGGAGCTGCAGCAGCTGAATCCCGTCCGCTGGGGCTGTCTACCCCGCCCCCCATCACCACCCAAGCGTGCCAGGCTGCGGGAGCGGCACAAAACCCCACGGCTGGCCAGGCAGGCCGAGGTGTCTGATGCCCTGACTGCCTCTGGATCTGGGCTGCTTGATTTTCATTCAGTAAAGCCAAGGGCAGAGGCTGAGCCAGTGGGCACCAGCGCAGCCCCACGGACCTCAGGGTCGCCCTGTGCCTGGCGCCTCGGGACGCGTGTCATGCTGCTCCAGTTAGAAGAGACCCTGGTCACGGGGCGGGGGAGGGCACAATATCCACTTCCAATCTCATTCTGATTCTGTCGGAAACGCTTTCTGGGGGAGACGGGACCTGCAGGAGGCCCGGGGTCGGTCAGGACAGCGACTGACCCAGTCGCCCTCCACAGCAACGTGCCCTTTGGCGAAGTTCTCCCTCACTCGTCTGTCTCGGCGTCTGCCCTCCCTTGGTTAGCTGTCGGCTCTCACAAGGCCCAGTGCTCCTGGCTGTCCAGGGGTGGAGATGCAGGGCCTCCTGATTCCCGCTGTCCCAATGGGTCTGGTCTGAGGTGCACACACCCAATGCAGGGCACACAAAGGAACCCACTGACACACAACACAGAGCACACAAAGGAACACAACGCCTTTTGTTTTTGCAGAGCACACAATGGTGCACACTGACACAATGCAGAGCACACAATGGTGCACACTGATACACAATGCAGAGCACACAAAGGCGCCTCAGGCCAAAGTTGTGCAGCAAGTCCCAAGTTCCCCTGTCTTGAACCGCCTCAGCCTGGGCCAGCGAACAAGGTGGGGCACACAAAGGAACACAGCGGCACACAAAGGAACCCACTGACACACAACACAGAGCACACAAAGGAACACAGCGGCACACAAAGGAACCCACTAACACACAATGTAGAGCACACAAAGGAACCCACTGACACACAACACAGAGCACACAAAGGAACCCACTGACACACAACACAGAGCACTCAAAGGAACCCACTGACACACAACACAGCGGCACACAAAGGAACCCACTGACACACAACACAGAGCACACAAAGGAACCCACTGACACACAACACAGAGCACACAAAGGAACACAGCGGCACACAAAGGAACCCACTGACACACAACGCAGAGCACACAAAGGAACCCAGCAACACACAAAGGAACCCACTAACACACAATGCAGAGCACACAAAGGAACCCAGCAGCACACAAAGGAACCCACTAACACACAATGTAGAGCACACAAAGGAGCACAGAGGCACACAACGCAGAGCACACAAAGGTACACACTGACACACATCACAGAGCATATGAAGGAACACAGAGGCCCACAAAGGAAGGCACTAACACACAATGATGCAGAGCACACAATGGTGCACACTGATACACAATGCAGAGCACACAAAGGCGCCTCAGGCCAAAGTTGTGCAGCAAGTCCCAAGTTCCCCTGTCTTGAACCGCCTCAGCCTGGGCCAGCGAACAAGGTGGGGGAGGGGTCTACACGTGCATTGCCCACGTGTTTTGGTGCCACTTTTCTTTACCTCACGACAACCAGGGTGGCTGCCGTGCGAAGACTCACTCGGACCCTCACTGCGAACCACGTCATTCCCCTTCCCCTGGGAATCGGGGAAACACATTCCGACAGGGAAAACCCGTCCAAGTCGTCGCAGGGAAAGACTCGTTGCTAAGCCAGGCAGTGCCCGGAGGAACTCCAGCCCGGCGCCCAGCGCCTGCAGAAACCTCTCAGCCACGCCAAGGGCCGGACTCTCCCCCACGCCAGGGCTTTGAAAATGGCAACCTTCGAAGTGCCCGGTGCTGCCGGCTCCCAGGGAGCCATTTCGCCTCAAGGGAATTTCAGCAAGGAGGGAGAACGAGGAAAACCACGGGAGCCATGTTATGTGCCGTAGAGATTTAATGCAAATGAAGCTAGCGATACAGTGACAGGAAGAAACGTCAGCGAGCCCCACAGATGTGTTTCCAGCGTTCGACGGATCGCACACCTCAGGGGCACATTTCAGACAAACTGTTTGTTGTGCTTTGCTGCAGCTGCAAAGGGTGTAACCGTTTTCAGTTCCTTCTTTTACCCCACTCAGCGGTGTGTGCCAGAAATCAAAATACAAGTACGGGGCTACAGGGCGTCTCCACTATACATCTACCAGAGCAAGGGGAAAGAGCAGGCGCTGAGGGTACATAGTGGTGGAAAGGATAGAACAAGTAGGGCCTGATTGGCCAAGGCAGAAAGGTCTTTTCCCTTGAACAGAGGGACTTACAATGACAATTGGTGTCACTGAGGCTTTTCTCAGGCCCCCTTTTCTGTCACCCAGCAGGGTCGGTGGGAGCAGCCTGCGTGTCACTCAGAAGGTGCCCACAGGCCAGGAGGAGACTCAGTGCGGGGCTGGCAAAGCAGGAGCAGAAGGAGCCATGAAGCGTGAGGGGAGCAATGCAGCCTGGCTCCCAGACCCAGGGCTGAGCACACACAGCTCCCACTGAGCTCAGCTGGAGCCGGGTTTGCCCAGCACGTCTGAAAGCCAAGCCCCAAAGCTCAGGGGGGAATCTGTATCCGGCCGTTCATTGCCTGGGTCTGCCACGGATGGGCCTGCTGGGTTTAGCAAGGCGCACAGCTTCCACTGCGGTACCTGTGGCAGGACACCCCGGAACCGACTACTCCCCCGTAGCCATAATAGCCTGGGTAGCCGCAGTATCCCCCATTCCCATAATAGCCTGGGTAGCCGCAGTATCCCCCATTCCCATAATAGCCTGGGTAGCCGCAGTATCCCCCATTCCCATAATAGCCTGGGTAGCCGCAGTATCCCCCATTCCCATAATAGCCTGGGTAGCCGCAGTATCCCCCATTCCCATAATAGCCTGGGTAGCCGCAGTATCCCCCATTCCCATAATAGCCTGGGTAGCCGCAGTATCCCCCATTCCCATAATAGCCTGGGTAGCCGCAGTATCCCCCATTCCCATAATAGCCTGGGTAGCCGCAGTATCCCCCATTCCCATAATAGCCTGGGTAGCCGCAGTATCCCCCATTCCCATAATAGCCTGGGTAGCCGCAGTATCCCCCATTCCCATAATAGCCTGGGTAGCCGCAGTATCCCCCATTCCCATAATAGCCTGGGTAGCCGCAGTATCCCCCATTCCCATAATAGCCTGGGTAGCCGCAGTATCCCCCATTCCCATAATAGCCTGGGTAGCCGCAGTATCCCCCATTCCCATAAAAGCCGGGGTAGCCGCAGTATCCCCCATAACCGTAAAAGCCTGGGTATCCCCCGTAACCGTAACGGCCTCCATAACCATAACCCCCATAACCGAACAACCCTCCGTAACGGCCTCCATAGCCGTACAATCCCCCGTTAGCGAAGGAGCCCCCGTAGCCGGCTCCCACCACAGGTTCTCCTACGGCTGCCACTTCGCTCTGCTGAGGGAAGGTGCTGAGAACTGGTCCGGGGAGGGTCACCGCAACCGGGGAGGGTCTGATCACCACTTCGGAGTCAGGGCACTGCCGAACGCACGGCTCGTTGCAGGTACCAGAGACGGGGCTGGGCCGGGCCACCCCGCATTCTGGATAGCACAGGCTGGAGAAAGCCATCTCTGTGGGATGCAGGTAAACCTGGAACACACAGCAGGGGGCAGAGTGAAGGGAAGCTACAAGAGCCAATGGAGGAAACGTTTCACAGCTGTTACTATCGTTGTGAGGTCTACGTGGGGGTGAGACGAGAGGATCCGTGGTCTTAGTCCCTATGTTCGATGCTGCGCATTTATTCCTACTTTCTCTCTCTCTGCTTCTTGTCCAATTGCAGCAACTCACCCTCCCAACAGGCCCCTTTCAGTGCCTCTCAATGACTCTCTCTAAAAATCCTGCTCACTGGATTACATGTAACTATTTCTATGGTGGGTTTCCAAACTTGGGGAGTCCCCAATAGTTGCTGATGAGTAATCAGAAACTTTGCCTTTCTCCTAACAAATCACTAAGGACAGCCTCCTCAGCTCGGACAAAATGGGTCCCCAAATTCCCAGGGAGCCACACTAAGTCCCATTGCCTGAGGAGAAGCACCCTCAGTGGTATATTTGCTCAGGAGAACATGGGAATTGTTTGACTGGGTCACACCTTTTGTCAGCTTCACCTAGGCTGTGTCTAGACTGGCCAGTTTTTCCGGAAAATCAGCCGCTTTTCCGGAAAAACTTGCCAGCTGTCTACACTGGCCGCTTGAATTTCCGCAAAAGCACTGACTTCCTACTGTAAGAAATCAGTGCTTCTTGCGGAAATACTATGCTGCTCCTGTTCGGGCAAAAGTCCCTTTTGCGCAAAAGGGCCAGTGTAGACAGCTCAGATTTGTTTTCCGCAAAAAAGCCCCGATCGCAAAAATGGCGACCGGGGCTTTTTTGTGGAAAAGCGCGTCTAGATTGACACGGACGCTTTTCCGCAAAAAGTGCTTTTGCGGAAAATTGTCCGTGCCAATCTAGACGCTCTGCTCCAAAAATGCTTTTAACGGAAAACTTTTCCGTTAAAAGCATTTCTGGAAAATCATGCCAGTCTAGACGCAGCTCTATTGTCCTGTCCCCAACAGTAAGGAGTAGCAGTCGCTTTAGAAAAAGATAGAAGACCCCGAATTGGCCCTTTCTGGACTAACCTGGAGAAAAAATTTCCTAATCTAGGAAAGGGAAAAATCATGAAGGGACTTTCTAAAGTGACTGAAAATGTTTTTAAATGCCCTAATTCTATTTCCACTTTATAGGAAATATGTTTCAGAATTTCATGTTTTGCTTTCAAAGTCCCTTCCTGAGCCTCAGATCATGAATTCCTCAGTGGCAGCAACGGAAGAAATACACACGGAAATTACGGAAGAACACTCTGATCCCTGAAAAGAATCACAGCGAATACATGGAAGATTCCATCTTAAATGAAAAGAGACCCCCCTATAGTATCCCTGAGGCTAGAAAGAGATGAATGTGGTCTAGACAGTATTTGGTCCTGCCGTGAGGGCAGGGGACTGGATTCGATGACCTCTCGAGGTCCCTTCCAGTCCTAGTGTTCTACCATTCTATGAGTGAAATGGGTCTTACCTGGTTCAAGGAGACGAAGTCCAGAGAAGCGTGTAGAGGAGCTGTGAGACGAGAGCTCTTTTATACAGTTCCTAGGACTGCCTGGAGGCTCTGGGATGGTTTATGAAGGAGGTCCTAATTAGTTACCAAACAAATGTGATTACCTCCCTAAGTCCTCCTTTAGATGGAGCTTTTTTCTCCAGCGTTGGTGATTACTGGGCTAATCTCAGCCTCCACGGGTGTGACACGCACATTATACTTTTCAGCTTCCTTTCATCTTCAAATTGTACGGGCCAGCTGCATTTCTCCTGTCCTTGCACCGACTTTATTGGGGCTGCAATGAGGACGAAGGTCAAGGTGATTCTGAGCGGCAGGAGTAGCTCCCCTGGCTGTCCAGAAAGGAATCCAGGACGGTCCTTTCCCCCTTTGGCAGGGGAAGGTACGATGCCTAAAGAACATGCCTTAAGAACATGGTCCTTTGCGGCCCTCTGCCCAGGGGTGAATCTTACCCTATCACAAGTAGAATTTGACCTAACATAGGACCTTCACGTGGGTCACCAACACTGTCCCAAAGCGCTGCTTGAAGCAGATTCCCTGGTATCTGCGTTCACTTTTTTTGATTGTATCCCTTTGGTATATATGGTCCTGCCAATTTTCTTCCACTATTTGATCTGAGGAAGTGGGTCTGGCCCACGAAAGCTCATCACCTAATAAACCATCTTGTTAGTCTTTAAAGTGCTGCATAGTCCTGTCTTTTGTTTACAGGAAGGGTTTGAGTTAAGACTTGGAACCTCTACTCAACCAGAAACCATCTCTTCATGCATGAGCCGCCAAGAGGTCTTGTGAGACAACGCAGCTGAGTGAGTCCACCATGCAGCCCAGGAGAAATGAAAACGACACAGTCTTGGTGAAGGATTTGACATATGTAAGCAGGGGCTGAACTGCTGCTTGCTGTCAGCCAGCTGAAGGAGGGGTGGGTGTGCCCACTACAGTTGTTTAGCTCTGCAAGGTAATTAAGTGTTAACTGTTGACATGTAAATACTGCTCAGGAGGGAATCCAAGGTGTGGCTATGGAAATCCCATTCAGCCAGGGCTGATGGAGGGTCAGTGTTGGAATGGAATGTGGAGAATTGTATATAATTTGGGACTGTTGTGGGGGTCACTAATCATGCTACCCCTAAATGTGGGAACTGTCAAACATGCCACCAGTGCTTGCAGGAGAGACACCACCATCATGGTAAGAGGCCTCGGAAGAACAAGCCTCCCCCCTTCCAGAGTTGAGAGAACAGAGCTGGGGGAAAGGGTTAAAGGACTTGAGTCAGCCTGCTTCACACCTACCAGGTGTGAGCTATAAGACTGGCCCAGCCTGCACCTTTCCCCCTTTGTTTTAAGGACAGACCTAAAGCAGACTCCCTGAGGAGTCTTTTTGTTTGCTAGTCCAGTGAAAGCTGGATTCATTTGAGAGCTGAAATCACTGGTTTGGCTGAGAGTTGAAATCACTAAGCTGAAATCACTGGTTTGGCTGAGAGTTGAAATCACTAAGCTGAAATCACTGGTTTGGCTGAGAGTTGAAATCACTAAGCTGAAATCACTGGTTTGGCTGAGAGTTGAAATCACTAAGCTGAAATCACTGGTTTGGCTGAGAGCCAGCCCTACTGCAGCCAGTAGAGTGGCAGCAGGCAAGGAGCGGCGACTAGCGGCGTGGCGTGGAGCGGCGGCAGGTGAGGAGCGGCCATCAGCGGCGTGGCATGGAGCGCAAGGAGCGGCCATCAGCGGCATGGTGTGGAGCGGCGGCAGGTGCCCAGCGGAGTGTCCAGAGGCGTGGAACGAGACAGCTGGTGGAGTGTGGCAGAGTTTCGTATAAAGTGTCCCCTATCTATCCTCCAACCCCCATTTCTACCCAGGTTAGGAGGTGAAACCCTGCGGGTGAACTTTGGGACTCTGGGTGGCACGGACCAGGGACAGAGACCTTTGGGGTGTCGGACTTTTTGGACTTCGGGCGATTCTTGGCTGGGGTGGGAGCTTGGCTCATGTTTGGGGTTATGAACTCTGTTTGTGGTGTTTTCCCCCAAGTTAATGCCGTATGACTTCTCTTTCTGTTTCATTCAATGTTTCTTTCCTACACTCAGACTCGGTGCTTGCGAGTGGGGAAGCATTGCCTCTCAGAGACGCCCAGGGGTGCGTGAATTTCCCAGATTACTGGGTGGGGGCTCAAGCCGGTTCTATGTGTGATGGCCCCAAGATATTGAACCCAGCCCTGGTTACTGCCAGGCCTACCCGGCAGAAGGGTTACACATAACATCTGAGGGGTGGGTTTCCTATCTAGGGAAGGAGGCAGAAGTGTCTTGCTTTCATTTTAAGGGCCCCAGCCTCATGGAATGTGGAGCAAGCGCACCTTCATTCAAAAATAATCCCTCCACAAGCGGATGAGCCCCCAAAACAGGCTCTGGCCACAGGTGTTGCTATGGTCCCACCTGGCTCTGTTGAGGGAAATTGCTGAGAATTGGGCCAGAGAGGGTCATGAACAGGTAGGAGTTTGATTAACGCATCAGAATCAGGGAACTGCCTAACCAATGGCTCGTTCCAGCCCACAGCAACTGGACGGGGCTGTTCTACCCCTCATGGCTTTTCAAAAATACTAAATTCAAACAACATTTGAATGACAATGAAATAGCCCCACGTTGCGTGGCCTTAAATCATGACCCGATTAAGGGAATGACACCAAAGACCTTGGCCTCCATTTTGGGTAAAGTGACTCTATGACTCAGAGCAGAGGCCTCTAATGCCAACTGCAGCTTCTAATTATACAACTCTTCGTACATGGGACACCCCAGTGTGTGTGAGACTTTGAACTCTGCCGTTCTAAGGGCTCTAAAGAACGTCCTGCTTTAACATCCTCACTATCGATGTATCAGAGGCTGAGAAATAGAGGCACATTGAGGCAAAGGTCACCTGGGGAATCCGTTGCAGAAACAGAAATACAACCCAATAGTTCTGAGTCTTCCTGTGGCAGGTGTGGGTCTAGGTCAGTGTTTCTCGACCAATGGTATGGGCACCCTTAAGTACCTTAGGGTACTTGAGAGAAGTCTGGAGGGGTATGTCAACACAACTGACATTTGGAGAAAACGGAATTTTTGTGTTACGTTTTACAGCGCTTTGTTATTTTTGTACTTTTGACACCCAAAAATTTCATCGCCTGCCTGGCTACGATTAAGTTGTTTAAACAAATGTGTTGCAATGGTAGAAAAAATTTTAGCGTGTCTGAAATCTGTAGGTACTGGGGGTACTTTTTTTTTAAACGGGGTATTTATAAATTTTTTTTAAAGGGTGTACTTTATAAAAAAAGGTTGAGAAATGCTGGTCTAGGTTGATCCCTGTTCCGCTGTCTTACAAGACACGGTCGCACGGTCGCACTCCAAGATGGAGTTCAAGCTTAAAATCTTGTTCTGTCATAACGCCAACAGCAACGAGATTCCCCCGGGCACTCTGTGTGCTACTTTTTCTTTCCTTCGACTCACCTCTCTCTAACGGGTTACAGTAAATGAATTCCTTCAGGTTTGTGCCATGAGGTACAGAGGACCATACCTCTCCTCATCGCCTTCTTGACACACAGGCATCCTCATGGGCCAAAGGAAGTACAAGGGTGCACATTTCATGCTTGGGCAAGGGCAGAGCCATTGATTTTAAAGGCCTGACTGAAGAGGTTTTAGGCCCATATTTCTGCAGGGCTGAACACTCAGCACCCCCTCTGAAGCTACCAGGAACTTTCCATACTCAACATTTCGTGATTATAGGCCACGCACTTTCCTGAGCTCTGTATCCAAAACCGGAGGAGATTTGTGGCCAAGAAACCTTTGGTGCTATGAACAGATAAAGAGCGGAAGAGAGCATGGGCGGTGGGGGAATACAGGACTCAGGGAGGCAAGCCCCCAACCCCGCCCCTTCTGAATGAGGCCCGCTCCTGCTGCTGAGGGCTTCTGTAGGAACTAAGCCACCCCATCCCGCCCAGAAGGGGCAGCCACCTTCCCCCACCTTCCGCCATCAGAGTCCGGGAGGTCTGGTGGCACAAACACAGCCTTGGGGAGGGGGGCTGAAGGCCAGGCAGCCCCAGGAGACGGAGGGAGCCATGCTGATGAGTGGAGGGCAGTGTGAGCAGGGCAGTTTGGGAAGGCCTTGTCCTTAACTCTGTCTTTCTTGCCTTTATTAGCTGAGTCGCTCACAAGGCCCAGTTCTCCGTTCATGGGTGGAGATCCTGGGCCTCAGGATTCCCGTTGATTTCCCGAAATGTTGGCTCGGAGCAGCAGGGGGTGGAGGAGCAGAGCATGCAGAGAAAGATTCACTTCCCCCCCCCCCCCCGGGTTTCTCTACCCGGGCGTGGGGAAAGGCCCTTCACTGTTCCTTCCTCACAGCTCAGCGTCTGCCCTTACACTGTAAAATAGACATAAAAGGGAAGAGCAAAGGTGCGTTGGATGCAAATCAAACAGGCCCGATTTTGAAGGCCAGGGATCACGAGCTGAGCACTGGATTGACGTGTGACCATCACAAGTTACTCAAAATCTTCAGTATTGGAACATAACTGTAGAAAGTTATTGCTACTTTAGTTATCCACCTCTCTGGCTGTATAAAGCTTGGGTGGCGTTTGCAACGTGCTGTGAAATACTCGGCTCAGAAGAAGCCTCAGACAATCTGCCTTGAAAGTTACAATTGTACCTGTTTTCCAGAGAGGTGCATGGAGGCTCATTCAGGTGAAGGTCAGAGGGGGTGACTGGCAGCATAAACCCCCGGACTTGGGATGACTCGGGGCAAACACTAACCTGTATCTCCTGAACCCGACTGGGGCTTCCAGACCCATCCCTGACCTCAGAGTGACTCTAAGGCTGTGTCTACACTGGCATGAATTTCTGGAAATGCTTAAAACAGAATACTTTTCGTTATAAGTATTTCCAGAAAAGAGCATGTACATTGGCCACAGATGCTTTTCCAGAAAAGCCCTTTTTCCGGAAAAGCATCTGTGGCCAATGTAGACGCGCTTTTCCGGAAAAGAGCCCCGATCGTCATTTTCGCGATCGGGGCTTTTTTCCGGAAAAGACTACTGGGC